TTATAATTATTTGAGTGATGTGAAGTTTGATGATGTGCATGACTTTGTAATATCTTTGAAAATTTGTAACATTGAGATTGTAAGATATTGGGAAGGTAATGTGCAGTACTGTTTTGAATGTATTTTCAGCAATATAAGGATGACTGATGTTTATATATTAACGAATTCATGAATATCACATTAATCAACTTACTTTATTAACGTCATAATAGTATAACAATGTTATTATCATATAAATATATATTTTTCCACAGATAATTATTAATTTTGGCATAGTTATATATAAACTGTGAAATGTCGAGTTATCGCTTATATTTCTTAAAATATGCATATTTATTCTTGCATATGAAATAGATTATAAAAAAAGTATGTTTATAATATTAACAGTTGCAATTTTGTATTGTTGACGCGCCAAATAAATAATTAAAGTATAATCAATTACGTTGTAATTTAATAAGCAGATTGAAAGATCGTTTAGAAAATATTATAATACTGATTCGATGATTTTTTTTTCTTTCGGCTTCATCCAGGTTCATGGCAATGACACTATAATTTAATTAATATGACAATTCAGTAGAGCTCTTAAATAGTATATTGGCTATTCGTTCGAAAAATTTCAAAAGCATCAAATAATTATGTAATTAAATAATGTATAGTAGTACATAAAGTCGGCATTATTGTTTACAATAGAATAATATTCATTTAGTTAACGATACCTACAGAGGGTTGTGCAGGTAACTGTAATAATATTAGGTGGTTCAATGGTACAAGTCGCAGCCTTCCTCAAACTATATAATTTTAATTATTATTTCATGTTGATAGTTACTTAAAATGAAATGCTACATATTAGCAAAATAGTTAAAATTTTTATCGAAAAGCAGTAACATTAAATAAAGGTACGTTATCTACATTAATTATTACGATTAAAGTTATGTGGTATTATCGATCAATTCTAGATCGAGTCGGTTGCTGTGATAAAATAACAAATGATAATGGAAATATTAATAATAAGCTGAATAATCCTAGTTTTCCTTTTCTATTAAATACAGAATATTTACGAGTAATTTGGCATTGAAGCTTATACAATGTATTCTCTTATATTCAAATATAATACAGGATGATATTATTAAAAAATATTTATTATGTATATATATTTTTAAAATATTATATACGACCTTGGCTCGAAGATTAAAGAAAAGGTTTTGTAGTTGAAAATACATTTATCGTGCAATATATTATTTTCTTGAAATTATTAAAGATTTATTTAGTTGGAAATAAAAAAAAAATATAATTCTTTATATACCTTATTTTGATGTGCGTAGTACGTATAGGAGGAAGGCGAATAAGGAAAACGATAGAAAGGGATGAGAAGTGGGAGAGGGAGAGAGAGAGAGAGAGAGAGAGAGAGAGAGAGTGTGTGTGTGTATATAATGAGAAATAAGGGAAAAGTGATAGAGCATTTGAAATTGACTCTACAAACGTTAATTTTTGTAACTTTTTTCGAAAACGTATTAATTTAATTTATACAAATCATTTTGTGAATTGAGAGAATAAGCTTATTTCATCTAAATTTGTATGTAACTTTTATTTATAATTACTTTATAATTTATCAAATTACACTAAGATATTTTGTTTAATATAGCAATTGATTAAACGGTTAGATTCTAATTTTGAAAATGTTTTCACAGCGAATAATCCCAATCTATAATATTTGAAATTATTTTTTTCAATTAAATAAAATTTTCATAAAGTATTATAATACATAAAGTCATCAAATATTTCGTATGGATATATCGAGACAATATAAAATACCATTTTTATTTAGTTTTATTAAATTGTATATTTATATTCAGATTGTAATAAAAAATTCAACAGTCAAATTTAATTAAAAATTCAAGTATGTATATTTTATATATATTTAATTTTACTTTTTTTGGCAATTGTTTATCATAATATGAACAATTACGAAAAAAATAATTTTACTCGTTTTTATGAAATTTTTGTAAAACGTTTAATGGAAAACAGCTTCAATATTTTAATTATAAAATATGTACGTTAAACAATTATCTAAAATATTAGTTTGCTATTGTTTTTCTATTATTTCTATAACATTTTACCGTTTATAGTGATTTTTTTGTTTTTGTATTCTAGTAATAATAGTCGAGTATTATTAAAACATGTAGATTAATGTTTATAAATTGAAATAATTTAAATTTTATATCTTTATATATATACCGTTCTATTTGAATAATAATTAAAGAGGAAATTTTCCCTATTAAAATGTGTTAAATACAACATTGTATTTATTATTATTCTTTTATTACTATTTTACGAATGATAATTATTAATAGAAAAAATACTTCCTTAAATTGCATCTTCCAACAATGCATATATTTGAAAGTAGTATAAAATGAAATTATTAAAACAATAATTATTATTAATGCAGGGTATTAGGAAAAATAAGTTAAACATTACTTGTATTTTTACAATTTATCTCTGTCAATAATAAGTGTACAATTTTATTAATTCTTGTAAATAAATATTTAATAGACTTATATAAGTATATCTTTGCTTCATAGCTTTTGAAATAACATTCTATTAACATAACATGCAATATAACGTTATATAAAACGAGATCCCAAAAAATTTTGATGAAAAATATCAACATTAATATTTATTTTCGAAATGACAATTGTATAATCCTCGATAAAGTTCTAATGAATTGCAGTCAATTTAATGATTTGTATAACATTTACAATTTTACATTAAATAAAATTTCTCTTTTCCTTTAGTAAATAGATTTTATCTTATTAACATCCATCAATTTTTTTGACATTTTCTAATTAATTTATTTAAAGTAAAAGTGTAGATAAATCATTATATTGGGACTGATAATTCACAAACATTTACAGTTTTATCCTTTCGCTTTAATAAATTACAGAAAATTATTACACCTTATTATATTTTCGAATTAGTTATTAAATAAATTTTCATTTGAAAAGTTGCATAAAAAATAACGATTTAATTTAAAGTCTTAAATTGTTTTTGTTTCTGATGTATGTATATTATGAAGATATAATAAAAATACTTTGGAAATTAGAATACTTAGACTTTTCTGTTGTAATGCCATAATTTCCAAGACAAACTATAAAAAGAAAAAGACAAAGAGTTTTACTATATTTTTTATTTTTTATTTATTTTTTTTTTATAACTGTCGCATCTATGGATGAATGTTAATTATTAAAATTATAACTTGATATTATCGATATTAGATGAAAAATCTATTGATAAATAAAAACTTTTCTCACTTGATTGCCAATAAAGTGAAAAATAGTTTATTAACCTAGTTAAAGATAAATTTATATTATATTATTTAATTTAGTTATTAATTGAATAGAGTGATGTAAGTATTAAATAATAATATTGAATGAAATTTCGGCCTTTAGTCGATTGTTTCTCCATAGCAATTTATGCAACTTTACAGTTTCATTTAACTCGAACAAACCTAGCTATGGTACATACACTATGCATTTTATACTCTTTTGATATGGAATGTTATTTCTCTTCTTTCATTCGCCTAATGAGTTGTGTATTACGTTATGAGAGAAGCGAATAGTCTTTTAAGAATATATTGTCGTCAGATTTGAAAGTCAACGAGCGAATTTACATCGTTTCATCCAATCGACGCACTTTCGATAAGAATCTCTGTATATACGTATATTGAAATGAAGGAAAAATAGGATAATCAACCATATTTTCTCGCGTGTACGTTCTTACGTAAAAACTTTCTTTATATTAATTTGATTACCTTTCAACTTTTTTTATCCTTCCAAACAGATGTTATAAATATATCATAAATCTGAAGATTCTTGCATGGCAAGATGTTTACGATTTTCACAGTTTATCTTTCATGATTTTTTCATTTATTTACAAATTTATTGCAAGCATCTTATTTATTCTTCGGCATCGCTTGCTTTACCTGCAATATACTCGATTTCATATAACTGGATATATCTATAATTAATTTATGGGATTTTCTTTTTTTGCAAATAGTTAGATTAAACGTAGCTCTCCGAAATATTCAAGCTATTTACATATTGGAATGTCAGAATGCATTTAAAAACTAATTTTCACTTCTATAATTATTTACACGTATTGAAAAATGTCAAAGTACAGTAAGAGAAAGTAAAAAGTTTTTGCCGTTTATAATAATTTCTAAATACGCAACTAACATTACATCTAATCGGTCCTAAATCTTGATTACTTATGGCTTCAAGAATATAAAAATTAGAATAAATGGCAACAAATAAACGCACTCTTAATTCTAAAAAACTTTATAATAAATTGAAATTTCATAACGAGGGTAAAACGAATGTTTGCCTTTATAATGCTCGGCAAATTATTAATTTTTCCCTAAATGCTAAGGTATCAGAATTATCTCAGTGAAGGAGACGAGAGAGTAAATTTTCAAACTGTTTCACCGACTCAAAACTTCATTACATGAAATTTCTTTTATCATCAAGTGTATTTCAATTGATTTAAAATTTCATTACTCGTATAATGAAATTTGCCAACAATTTATATAATTCAAATACTCGTGGACGACATTTCTTCTATCTCAATATATTGGTAAAATGTTTATTATGTTATCAATATGTGATTAGCATCCTACTATCTACTTTACCTACACATCGTTCCAATTATACGCACGTCATTGAAATACATTAATGGATAATAAGCTTGAAATTCTTTAACAAAACACTCGGCTTCTCAAAAGCAATAAATGCAATTATTATTAATAAAAAATATTGATCCCCCGTTTTTTTCCCATTTAACCTATGATATTTTTTTAACTGGAGAATTAATAAACGTAAAGTTGACTCGGTCGGTAATCTATCACTCTCCTGTCTCTCACAAAATCACAATTGTCTGAAGTTGAAATTGCGAAGATTTTTGCATTACACGCCAGCAAGCAATTTTAAAATCTCCAACATTGAATCAAACTAATCAGATAATGTTCTCCCTTTCGTAACATCTTCGTTTCTCTCTCACGCTCTCCCCACGTGTGGCCTTAAATAAAAGTAAACTAGCTGGCGCACAGATTTGATCATCTGAAAACGAAGAGGAGGACCATAATGAGGCTGAGGGTTGTCGTATTCAGGACGCAGCTCGATGCCCGGTCGCAGTTGAGGGTGTCACGGTGATAGAACGTCGCCGGAGGATGTTCATCGCCTGGCTTACATTTCTCGTTGCGCAGCATGAACTCTTCCTGCGAATGTGACGTGATTTTCAATTTATTTGGTCGAAACTTGCACTTTTTCTTATTATTTATAAAATTAATTTAATCGTACGTAAGATTTGGAAGGCCTTTAATAATTTAAATACTAACTATCAATAATAAACATTAACTTGAAAGCTAAACAATGAAACTTTTAGTTTACATATAGTAATATTTCTTTAGGATGGTGATCTAATTATATATATTTTCCAGTGAAAATTCTAAACTAAACTTTTGCAAACAATTTTCGTGTAATTTGTGTAAATAAAATACCCTATGCATTTGCAATTTATCAAACTATTTATATAGTCGAAAGGGATGAAAAACATATTTTTAGTCTTGTATGGAAAGAATTATATTTGTACATTAAATGTACATAGAAAGTTGTCCGAAACATTTTAATTAGTCTTTTTTTTATTAATGTATCTTAAACGAATAGTAAAAGAATTAAATAGCGACTTACGTCGCAGCAATGTTATATAAAGTTTTTATAAAGCTTAGAGTTATAAGATAGTATATACTACTAATTGTTTAATATTATTAATTATAATCTTATTTAATTATTTTTTATTTGATAAAACTAGCAGTAATTTAAAAATCATAAATAAAATTACACACAATAAAATTTATAATTATACTTATTTTTTAAATGAAATAAATTTAATTAAAAAATTTCGACAAAACGTATAAAGGCGAAGCAAACGCTTTTTGATGTCTTTTATTTCGGTATTATTTTTCTTTTCTTTTCATTTCTTTCGAAACACACGACTGCTGCATATTGAAACCAAAAATTCATAAGATGGTTAAGCGATTATATGGCTTATTTGTCTTATTTATTGCTTATTTGCGCATTTCAAGTAATTATAACTAAAAATTATTAAAACATTTAAGATTGTAAAATTTCTTGTAAATGGAAGGTCGGAACAGACTAGCTCTGAGCACATCTGCCTCTTTTATCAAACAAAATTTCCAGCAGTTTAACAATCGATATCCAATAATCAATCCAAATAATGCCTACCATTGAAGGTTAAAAATCTCCATCTTGTCATTCATTAAAGTCAGTCATAAATAAGAGAAAATGGCGAATCGCTGATTTGTCGATACGCGCTAGCTAAGTAAGCTTAAGACGAAGGAGAGTGATCAAAAGGAAAAAGGTCTCATAAAGACCAATAGGGTGAACGGATTTATCACCTGGCAAAGGTCTCGGCATGGTGGGCAAATCAGGGCGCCCTTGTGAAGCCACTCGTTCTGCATTATCCTGATGGCGATCTCTTGGCCAGCGTGGTAACACGTGTACGTGTAATTCGTGACCTGCGGAGCACAATTGCCAAGGTATAAAGATAGAAGATGTAGGAGGTTGTTTAGTTAAGCTGCGAGTACGATCACGCAGATTAACCGCGAGAATTTGTGAATAACGCAATGATCTCGATAATGTGACGAAGGACGATGTGATAAATTTAATTGCGTAGAGAATTAATTGCTGTGGCCTATGTACATCTTATGCATTTGTCTCTTTCTTTTTGTGCCAATAATTTTGAAGTGATTTAGCGGTCTTTTCGGTTGAAGCTTTAACGATTATTTTACTCTAGTTTTTACCGTGATAACTTTAATTTAATCGGACACTCAATTACAAATAAATTGATAAGATATAAAAAATAAGGGAGTTTTTAAATAAACAGTAACTTAATTTCAAACGTGATGTCAATTTTTCGATTCTTCTTAGTATTTAAAAGATCGTAGCATAACGCGATATTTCAATCATTAAAATTAAATGAAAAAATTATGTATTAATAAATTTTAATAAGTCAAATAGAAATGTTTTTATAAATAATTGAACTCGATCTTGCCAGTTATTCTAAATTGTATATACAATATTTATGGTATTTAGCGGTTTATTAATGCACAAGATAAATATTTTATTTCTATTTATTTCAATGAATAAATTACGTTAAGCATAGTTTAAACATTGCATTTTATGTGAATTTATTTTAAAATCAAGTATTTTATGTAAAATATGAAATTCAGTAAAATTATGGTATAATATTAAAATATTAATATAAACAAGTTCAATATGTGCATACGTTTAAGTTTTAAAATACGCATGCGATTAAATATTATTATTATATTTGTGAATAGTTGTATATTTTCTGAAATGCTATTCGACAGTTTTCTCGACGATGTATCGTACTTTACGTATTCCTGTTCCCGAAAAAAGAACTTGGGGGTATTACTTGGGGTTGAATTGCAGTCATATTATTTGGTATTATTTCATGACAAAATACATGAAACGAGCCCCGGATAAGTGTATTAGTATTTTTCCACGATGCAGTCCCAATAAATTCCTTAGCTATTTATGAATAAGCTAACGTAGGTGTTGTAAAACAATATTTCAATAATCCCCTCATCGTTAGTACACAAATCAGGCAGGAATTCAACAAAGATAAAATAATCTAACAGCATCGGTAAAATGAGAGTCTCGTCACCAACAATCGGCGCAACAACGACAATATACAATCGGTTTGCCATTATCGCATTATTACAAACCATAATATGTAGCCGTCCAGCCTCGCACTTGTATTGGTAGCACCCGGAGCCCCAGTGCTGCCATTGTCGCACCTGTTTGCACGTTCTCTCTTCCCACATCTGATTTGTGTGGTCGAAGCATCGAGATTTACCACCATACCTCTCCAAGGCGAAGTTTTTTTGCGGATCTATCGACAGAGAGACATCGGTGTAAGTTATTTAGACATTATTATTTATTCCTTATTCTTAAATTAACGGTAGCGCGGTTAGACTTGACTGACTCCATTATGGGAATGGATATTAAAATGCTAAGAAGATGTAGGCTTAATAAGATTAGATATTACATTATCATCGGCATTGAGTCAGTGATTGCACGATATAATATAATGGAGATAACGATATGGCAATAAGAATCGATAATTGTATGTGCAAAAGTGAAATATTGAGATTATGAGTACGAGTTAAGTATTTGTGAATTAATTTACGGAAAAATTTTTTCATGTTTGTTTCAAGTTTCTATAGTTTTAAGTGAACATCTAATAAACTGTCCATATGTGAAAGAAATATTTAAGGGAAGAGAAAGCTATATAGTAAGTATCAGGGCGGTTTGTAAATATAATCGTTAAGAGCTCATAAGGAAACTGCTACGTATGTGTGCTACGTGCAATGGGTGTATCGTGCCTCTCTCTCTCTCTCTCTCTCTCTCTCTCTCTCTCTCTCTCTCTCTCTCTATCATTTTATATTTGAATTGTTTCTTTGGGATAGTTCTTTAGATGGCTATGACTTTAGGAAAGTGTATCGATACAGTATTTCCCAATTGTTAAAAATTATCTTTACTCACGTGGATTGTTGTCCTCGTAAAGGCAGTGCGAGCCACGAACAACTGTGTTGTTGGCCCTCCAGGTGAATTCCTGGTTGTAAGGGCAGTAATCTGCGAGAGAGATCGAACCACCGTAATACTCTTCCCGGCCCCGCGGAACGTTCGGGATCCAATCAAAATTCTAGAGAAATTGTTACGTGTGCAGTTAAATACATTGTGATTGCATTCACAGTTAATTAAAGCTTCAAATCAACTGTGTATTTGTAATTGGAATATTTGTTTTTAAGAAACATGAGTTTAAACAGAGTTCGTTATTTCAGTACAATTTTATCGAGAAGATTATTAGTAAACAGGTATCATTTCACCAGTATTAAATAAAATAATTTTTTTTATGAAAACTTGCATCACTATTTATTTAATTTATAAACCACATTAAGAATGTACGTTTTCACTTTTCTGAAAATACTGTTCACGATATCTCAATCTTTATATATGGGCAATTTTTATTAATAAAATATAAATATTGCTGTATCGAATATTTATGAGTATTGGACTTCACTTTTTATTGGAAGATTTATTTGCAATATACTGGTTCGTGAATCCGAAATTTTAGTCCAATAATTTTGAAATACTGTCAGAATTATATTAATCATAATTATTAATGGTCGAATACTTATTTCGTACAATTTTTATATAAATATTCAATCAGTTTAATTTTGTTGCAATTTACACTTGCACCTACTTTCGGAACTGAATTGATTTTTTAGCCTCAATATAACTGTAATTTTAATCGACCAAGAAAAATTAATTTCCTCTCGGCTCGATCAATGCTAGCTTTATTATTTATTTGCAGAATAAAATTTTATTCTGCAAGTTTTATGTACATACATTGCACGAGCGAACGAACCTGATATTGCTTAGGCAGCGGTTGCGGGTGTTCCACGAGGTTGCAAAGAGCGACGGAGCTTCGGTCGTCGGTGCATTCGGTTTGCAAAGGATCTCGCTTCACTTTATTGCAAAACGGATGAATGGATTTACCTCTGAAAAATTACGACATTGAAAGAAGAGGGCTTTCCAATTTTTAACTACTTATAAGTTTTTGTATCTTTTGTACATACGTTTCGTTATCCTTTCTGCGAAGCGGCAACCAACAATAAAATATTTATAGATTATATAGAATAAATTGTTAGTAAAGTGTCGAAGTATTACGTGGAAAGATTTATGGGCACTTGGATTTTAACCAAAATCGATAATTTATCAAGATTATTGTAAAAAATTTGCAAAGCACTTTTACGTATATAGAGAAAAATTAAATATTCCGAAAATATTATTACAAATAAATATTTCGATTGGTCGTAAGGGTTAATCGGAGCAAGTGCTTGTAATTATTCTGTTATTGTTATGTTTTGTTTTTGCTATTTTCGACTATTTACATTTAAAAATACTAAATACTCAATTAAAGTAGAGTAAATACTTTGAAGGACTTGTGAGTCAATAATTTATTTTCAATTAATAACGAAACAATAATTCACATTGAAAGTTATTTTATGCTTTATAGTTTAATAAAATTTGATCATTATATATTAAAGGATATTATAAGGAAATATTGTGCATACGATTTGGTTGGCATATTTAAACAAAAGATAATATTTAATTCTGTAATACTATTATTTACCCGTGGATTTAAAAGAATAAAATAAAAAGGATTTTCTTTGGAGGGTGTTGTACGAAGAATTTATAAGAGAATCTTCGCAAGAGAAGGAGAGAAAAATTTGAAAAAATATTTGATAGGTTATAAAATTCTAAACTATTGGAAAAATTGAAGTCATTGTTAAAATGTAGACAGCCTCTATTTTAGAAATAAGATGATAAACTTTTAATGATATACACGTGGGAATGAAGTAATAAAATCCCCTAAGTGAAGAAATGAAAAATCTTTCTCCTTCCTCCTACTGGCAATGTGAAAGATAGTTTGAACGTCTATAAAAAGAGTTTTTGCAACAGTTGTCATTATATTAGAAGGAATTATAGTTAAGTCAGTAGTTGAATTTGTTAGCAATAAATGAAAGTATTTCTTTGAATCGATACCGTCAACAGCATTTATATTATTCGTAATTTATAGATAAAGTTCACGGACACCTTCAGCTTACCGTCGCTATTCTATAGAATTAGTATGTAAGACGGCCATTAAAGCTAGGGATTCTGTAATCAATCGAAGTCAACGTACGATAACTTCGAGGACTTGGATACGATCCATTCTTTGCAGGACTTCATAGCAAAGTCGCAACCCAACTTCCTGCCCCAGCCGAGTTCCTGGGCCATCGAATAGTTGGCGCTGTACCAGCCAGTGTCCTCCATGAGCGCCAGGGTAATCCTCGAGTAGACGGGATTTTGGGTATGGGTGCCGGTCATCGCCTCATTCTGTACAAATACGACATGTGAAATATATGTCTTGGCAATCGATTAAAGGTCTCATTGGCCGTAAGTGATTTAAAGAGACGACGGCTTGATGGAACGGATTTGTCTGTCTCTCAAATAAATTCTCTCTCTCTCTCTCTCTCTCTCTCTCTCTCTCTCTCTCAGTATCTTACAGTATACTAGTGATATTTCTCTGCATCTAAAATACAGTGTATATATTTTTTATTGCTAAATTAGTCGAACCAATCAATCAATACGATTTACGTTAATTGCCATTTGAATTTAAATATCAAACTCATTTTTGCATAATCTCTTCTTTCCCACTCATTGTTACTGATTTATCATAATGTATCTAACACATCCAATATCTTGCGATAAATTCATTTTTATAATCAACTCGGGTACTACGGTCAATTGATTAAAATTTAATTCTTTATTATTATTATATTAATAATTTCGTATTTCTGTAGTGTACGAGTACTATATATAGTCAATAGTCTCGATTCCTCCAGTTTTTCAGACATTCTCTGTTAATTACCGAGTAAAGTTTTGTTCTTTAGGCTACATCAGTCTCCATTAATTATCTTTTTTTTACAACTCTCTCATTATTAAATAGATTTACTAAATTAACAAAACCATATTAATATATAGTCCAGAGTCCATTCGCGTTAAAGAATTGAATTTCGAAAAATAATAATATGAATAGAAGCATCAACGAACTTCAATCGAGTCATCATTTGTAAAGTTCAACTTTAATACTTTCTATTAAACGAAACGTAAAATATCAGATAAGAAACGGACAAGGAGCACAAGCCGCGTTATTTTTGAAAATATAATTTTCACAACGCTCCAGTTACTCTAACGAATATATTTAATAACATTAAGAGTTTGAGTAGCTTTGAATAAATTATTTCCAGCGACACCCTAATGAGAGAGATCCAAAGCCATAGACACTCATGAAAGGCATAAAATAAGTCCATGATAACGAATTAACGGTAATAATAATTTATCGGCTCACCTCGAAGACCCTCTTCTCCCAGTGCGTGAGAGCCGTGCCGTTCTCACCCTGATCTTCGAGTTCCGCGCCCTCCAGGTCTCGACATCCAAAGTGTGCCCGAACTTCGGCGCGCACTCGCGGCGTCACGATCATCTGCATCGAACGCCGGACGCTACCTCCGTGTACCTGCCAGCTATGTCTTATCACCGTGCGTATCGTATTGTCGCTCCATTGGTGGGTCTGTAACCTGAGAACGCAATGGTTCAGTTATTAGCACTTGGCCAAAATGGCTGTTGCTGCTTCTTCTCCCCTGTGATAATTAATGGACTAAGCCAGCGGCCCCATGGGAAACGTCTTACGGGAGTGTAAATAGTACGCGATGCTTATACCTTTTAAAGTTACACATTGCATTTATATTTGCGATTATTCTTGTTCACTGGAAGTGTGTGTGTGTGCGCGCGCGCGCGCGCGTGTCTGTGTCTGTGCCTGTATCCGTGTGTGTGTATAATTTTCTTGGCGATAAAATATTAATAGACAAGTTAATGGGTATTTATGTAGCATAATACGGTTTTTAGTCATATTAATAAGCAATTCAATTTATCACATTAATTTAAAATCAATATTTGTAATCACTACATTATTTTAAAATAAAATCAAAAGAAGAGGACCCACTTTAATTGTAAGAGCTCTGACTTGTCCATACTTTATTATTTTTAAATACTGTTTGCTTACCCATTCGTCACATTCTGGAGAATACTAGAAAAGTGTATAGATTTTGAAAAAAAAAACCTGATTGTTTCGTGATTAGGAGGGACAATCATTATTAAATGAAAAAAAAAAATGTCAATCCGAGATAATGCCGTTTTTGTTTTCGCACTATTTTTATTAATCTAGTAAATTTTATGAATCTTATTAAACCAAATAATAAATGTACGCCGTGATAAATAATTATTTGATAAGACAGATTAATTTTTTGAGCATAATATTTCATCAGATTAATAATTAATAACATTCTTACAATAAAAATTTTATCTATATTTCAATATAGATAAGTCAATGCTTGCAGAAATAAAAGCACAGTTATATATATTTAAATATATTTTTTTAATTTAATTTAATTTATTATCTTTTGTTTCTTCGCATACATAACGATAAGCATTTAGTTTGAAATGCATATAATATAAAGTGATCTTCTTTATCACAAGACTTTTATTCTACTGAATATTATATTAAACAAAGTTGCTTTTATTCCTTAATCGAGTGATTATTTCCAATGGTTATTTATGAATTATTAAATACTATACAAAATGGCATTGATAAATATGATAAATCATGCCAATGTTATTATTTCTTAGTCATTTGCCAGTAGAACGTTATCGTTGATGAAATGCTCCAGTAAAGTGTACCCAAGAAAGGAAATACATCAGAGAGATAAGAAAAGGGTCGTATCAGAAAAATCACAGTCGGAAAATGTTTCGCCGTAAATTTCGTGAAATCTGTTCGCTCTCCTGCATTGTGCAAGGAAAGAAAACAACGGAGCCAAGTACCAGTGGAAACCGACGTGAGTAGTACAGAAAGAAAAATAAAAGTCTCGGCCTTCTCTTTTTCACATCATTTGCTCGGCTTTTATGTCGGATTCGAGGATGAAAATTACGAGATACGTGGCTCGTAATACATTCGCATGAGCTTTAAGATAAGAAGCCGATTAAAATGAAGGTATGTAAGACACTTAAAATAATTGCGAATTCATAATCGAGTATCAATTTCGTAAACGGAGCATATCATTAATGAGTAAGATATATGTTGTATAAAAAGTTGCATCGGTTAAATTCTGCTTATTAATGGACATTTCTACTCGCAGAATAAAATTTTCAATATACGGTTAAAATAAATTATTCATTAATTTTATATTATTTTAGTTATATAAAATAATGACTTTCGATTAACATATACTTTAAATGAGTCGATAACTGTAAAGAATTTGTTAATATTGGCCAAGGAAACAAATAAGAAGGTTTAATAATAAAATTGAATTACAATAAATATAATAATTAATATGTTGAATTCAATTAGTACATAAAAACATTACGTTAAAAATAGTATTTTTATGTCTGTTTTGAATTTATATTCTATTTCACTGTTCTCTCAAATAAAGACTCTTAAATCTCAATTTAAGAGCTAAATTTAACATAATTATATAGCGCCAATACATTCGTTAATACTCGCGAAGCAATATTGATGGTAAATAATGTTTTTGAAAATTATGAAATAGACTTTTAGACTATAATAGTATAATAGGATTCTTGAAAAATAAATTTAATAATTAGATTAATTTAAATGTCAGACTCGGTAATTGACACTATCGAGAATGGTTAAGTAAAATTTAGTAAAGAAAATTCACGGCCATTTAGCAATTTAATATGCTTTAGAAAGAATCAACTCTCGAATATTAACAGTTTTAAAATAGAGTTAAGATTTTTGTTAAACTATCGCAAGTTATCTTAAACTGAAAATACTTCAGTAAGTTTACAAACATCAAGCGAATCGTTCGAAATGTATCCCATAAATGACTTTTGGATATCATTTTACGAAATAAGAAAATTTTATCTATAATGCACAAATACAAACTTTCTGCCTTTTAATAGAAGAATAATAACAAATGCCCTATACCTAACAAAAATGACTCTAATTCATTAAGTTCTATTCTATAAGCGCAAAAGTGGGAATTGCTAATTAGCAACATTTAGCAGAGAGCAGCCCGCTTCAAGAGTACAGCATTTAGCTTAAAAGTCAGTAGTATATTAAGTAAACCTTATTCAAATGGCCGCGATAAAGAATGAAAAGGATGGAGAATTGTGTGGGTGAGGGGGACGGGGGTGAGGCGTTAGGGAAACGATCGATGTTCGCTCGCTATCCCCGCGACTTCACAAGTCCATGTGTATTTGTTTTTGGAATTGGAAAATTCCGAGAGTCGCGGCAGTGGCGGCGAGCAAACCCGATGAACCTTCTGTCTGCCGACGCTGATGCGCGTCTCTATTTTTTCTCGAGGATGAGTGGATGAAACGAGGCCGGAAGAATTCATGGAGTTCGGTGTACTGTGTAATTTTGATTGGCGCTCCGGAATTCGGAACAGAGAATCTCAAAGCCCATGCGAGGCATTCATTTCCATTGGGTTATTTTACCGAGTTGGTCAGCTGTACTGACTGGCACTGATTATCGAAAAATCCTCGATAAACAACGCTAGAATGCCATGGTACGCTAGATGGACGATTATGCTATAATTTTTTAATCAACTATCCTGTTAAGAATGTATAATTGGTATAATCGTTCGTTCAAGACACAGTAACCAACGCAATCAAATATTTCTCCGATCGAGCACTCGTAATGGCAATGGAAAAGTCAAAGTTCATGTCTCGTAATAAGTGCCCAACTAATTTTACGACCCCTGAAAAGAAGATAAACTACTCACGTCTCGTTGAGGGGTGGCTTCCCCGTCTCGGTCCTCTTCGTCCTCGGCTCGCCACGTCCGTCCCTGTAGAAGGCGTAGAGGCTAACGGAGAATCCGAGTGCGTGTAATATCTCGTGCTTCACGGTGCTCAGCAGCGTTTCCAGCTCCTGGGGTTTCGTACTGATGCTCTCCGGGCAGAGGTTCGCATGGCCCGCTATCGGCCTGTTTAAGACAATTGTCTCGTATTGTTAATTGTTCTTGGGGGCATTTAATTTTTTTTTTTTTTTTTTGTTTTATTAGGGTTTTGACGATGATATGTGTTGCGTGTATGTGCGAGTGGTTAGTGAATGTGGATGGTCAGCCGAATGCGAGTGAAATTATGTTATGCATCGTATCAACGTGCGTAATTCTTTAATTTTTATATCATTGATAAAATGTCTTCTGGGATTGATAATATACAAATACGAAAGTTAAAGTAAATTGAAAGGAAGCATGATGATTTTCGCGATTAGTTAAATAATTGCAATCATTTGAATCTTGTGAAAATAGATTGATTTTCAATTTATTTCAATTAATACTTGTTGGCTATCTAGCGGTAAAAAAATCATAATTTACGGCTTGTCGTGCCACTCGTTAAATAGAACATTTTACAAGAACATTTTTCAATTCCCCAATAGCGAGATAAAGTCAGTTTTCTCATAGTGCCAAAGAGGTGTAGTAAAATATCCGGTGGATTTTAATTTCAATTTCAAATAGGCTGTACTATTATTAAAATTTTCTTTTCTTTTCCTAAAAACGTCTATAATCCATTATTGTAAATTATTATAAATACGGCGCTGCTTGTTTTGGAAATAAAATTGTTAAATCCTAGGCTTTTCAGTTAATTTTCTATATCAGTGTCAGAAGCACTTTTTTAATTAATTTGCAATGTTAAATTAAAATTTAAATCAAATATCTACGACTATTAAAAGCTTATGAACATTTTTAACGTCAGAGTGCGGGACTTTAATCACCTATGCAATCATTTTAATTAAAAAACGCATCAGCGCTCCATCGTAAATTTCTGTACAACATTTATTTCAAATTCCAATAATCACATCACAATCAGCACAATAATTCTGACAATGACCTTTCAAAATAATACCTATATTGAATACATCGTAACAGGAAGGAATAAATTCTCGATCGTTAAAAAATATCTTAGTCGATTACGAAGGAACGTAAATTCAAAGTCAATGCGAAAGTCGGAAATCAGAAATCAGAAATATTATGCAGGTCAGAGGTAACTAATAATGTTTTAGCGCTACGACTCACCTGTCGAGCGCGGCTTCCTGCTGGCAGTGGGCGGCGTAAGCGACGGTGAGGCCCTTTTTGCACCTCTCCGTCGACATGGCCGAGACGTAGAATACGAAGTCAGCCCCGTCAATGCCCTCGCCCGGGACGCTTCCCAACTCCACCCGGCAGTACAATCCAGCCTTGTCGCACACTCTACAGGCCTGCGACGAGGAATCATAGAGCTCTACTATATCGACTCAAGCCGCGGATAAAATTTTTGACCATCCTGCTAATTTGCACCTTAGGACTCGATCCTTAAGTCATCGTGGCCAATGAAATCATTGCCCTTCTTATTAGCTTCGATTTCGAATTTATTTCACATTTATTTCACAGCTGGGGGTGCGATATAATTATTAATAGAGCTATTTTTTATTTTCAATGGTTCGAACACTGGGACTATTCGTGATTCCCATCTTGTTCTCCCCTTCTCTTTATCATCAAATGTCTGTTCATTACACCGATCATACAATATTAATTTAATTCCAGCATTTCTAAGTAAAATTATTATCGATGGATTATTGAATTGAATGCGATTGTAAAATTCTTTAGTAAATCTACGTATTTCCATACATTATATGGCCAAAATAAGGAATGATATTAAAAGAAAGTCACCTAGCGTATACGATTAAAATATTCTCTATCGTTTATAATTTATTTTATGGACAAACCGACAATTTCTTTATAAGGATAATACTTATACTTACGTCAAGATGCTGTTCAGGCACCACAACTTCTCCGCACATCGTTTCCGCTTTGCAGGTATCAATGCAATGGGTAAGATTATCCTTGACAAAAACTTGAGTACTGTCGCATTTTCTGTAATGAAAATTTATTAAAATATTAATTATCACATGAGGAAAATTAGATATTTCGAGTCAAGTCAATTATAAGAATGTGTATGTATTTCTTTAAAAATTATATTTCGCAGAAATAAAAGTTGACTGTATTAGATTAAAGTAAATGCTGCAGATATTCTTTACAATCGAGGGAAATATCAAGAATAGATAAATCTTGAGTTCAACAAAATTGCGATTATCAATCGTCTCGTTTCGCAGAGAAGGAAATCGTCTTCTCTTTTGTCTCTCTTGTTAAATTTTTTTTCCATTCTCAACAAGCGCGATTTTGTCGAACTTCCCAGCTATAACCATTAACAATAAAATCCCTTGCCATAGTCCAAATGGAGATTAAAATGTCTCTCTCTCTCTCTCTCTCTCTCTCTCTGTCTCTCTCTAACTTACTCACTCGTATGTGAATCGAAGGATCGTTACGTAGGGGTAGAAAAATTTCTATTTGCAATTCTCGTATCACTGACTTTGGCAAGCCCATTGTAATTCACAAAACTAAACTAAAAAGTTTTTCAATTTTTAAATTCATAACTATTAAATAATAGTGTTATTAATCGAAATACTATGTGCTTTTAAAAAAGAATATTCTATTTTCATCTCTTTTTAAAGACTGGGGATGTTGATAAAACGTAGCAACTTTCATATTATTTTTATTTAAAGACATTTAAATTTCAATCCTACATTTAAAATTTTGCGCTTGCGTAGGGATAAATAGTCCTTTTACTTTTCATACACTTAAAATGTGGAATGGCATGCTTTAATAGGATTTTTATGTTATTATGTGACCGAGAAGGCATATAATAAAAAGGAGTAAACGGAGAGGAGTATCGAAAAAATCTAGGATACAATGAATTAAAAGACAGAGGAGAATAAGTAGAAATTCATAAAAAGTTCAATTTTCATTTCATTGCTTTCACACTTCCATAACACAATTGTACATAAGACAAAACATGAACAGAAACGAAATATACAAATATACATAATGAAATAAAATTATTTACGATCCATTCCTATACCTGTTAAATACACGATGTAATTTACAAATTTAAATTGAAATATCTTGTATATGATCATTGAAAAATGGTTATATAGTGATTGAAAAAAACAAAGTATTTTATTAGAATATTTTATAATCATGTTTGAAATTACTTAAATTATGATATGAAACGAATTCGTATGAGCAATTAATATTTTATTACATTCAACATACTCCAATAAATTATTGCCTTTACCAATTTTGCTTCTTTAAATTATGTATAATTAAAATTATTTCTACATTTTATTTGTTTTTAATCATAATCAATTATATAAAGGTTTACATACACATCTGCAGTATCTACAGTCAATAATGAAGATATTATTCGAAGCAATTCCATTCTAAATTTAAAATCAATATTCGGCATGAGTGATCAATAATTTCAATCATTTGTTTGCCATTGGTTTTTCTTTTCATTAATTCCATTATTTTTCGCTCATCTGAATTCAATAACATAAAGTATTTTCACTAGCTTATTGTTTCGGCATGCTTTCACTCCAAGCTTCATTCCTTTCTTTTTAGAATTATCCCCTTCTTCTGCACTTTATTTTATTATTATTACAATTATTATTATTATTTATTATTTCTTTCACTACATAAATTAATTATTTTAACTTTTATTATTTTGCAATAAAACTTTATACTTTTAATTATAATATTATAAGGATATTGGAATTTTATTTCTTATTTCAATAAAATATAATTTTTTGAAGAATAATTAAGTTAAAAAGAATTCAATCTAGTTTTTTATTTGTTATCTCCATCGCGCATACACTGCCTTACAAGACTTTTATTTACTTTTCGTATCAGCACTTTAATTATGTGGTTCGAATTTTCTAATTATTTTCTGTACTATGACCGTTCATTTCGTAAATATACGTAATTGAGACAAAAGTCTCGCAATAATATTCTATTCATTTTAACCTCTCGATTAATAATATCTTTTAATAGTACGTTTAATAATACGTTTTATCTCTAATTACAATTTTAATATTTATATTTATTTCTATTTTTCACTTATACTTATATTTTCTTTTCTTTCTATTCAATCTCATGCCTACATACTCTTATTAAAAAGTAAATTTTTTTTTGCATTTGAACAACCACATTTAAAGCTTCTCGAATAATAGTAATAAATCAAATGTTTTTTATATTTAAATTTGTTTATCTTTATTTTTAGTAGAAAATTTTTCTAATTTAGAATTAATTTAAAATCCATTTTTGGTATAGTACCGGATTGCTTCTCTTTTTAAATTTTCTTTCTTTTTTTATCACTAATCTGCAAAATTTTCGAACGTTTGCACTATTTTTATGTTTTAATTATCTTTACAAACATATTTTTATGATTTTAAGACTATCCACTATATAAAATCCCTTTCTATTTTCATGTTCCTTTTGATCATTAATACATTAGCTTTCTTTATTGTTATCTTCTTTTAAATTACCTTTCATATTTTTTTTGTTTTCTTATTTCGAATCTACACTCAATTTAATTTTTTTCGGCAAATTTTCCATCTCTTTGTTTCCATAACAAAAAACTGTAGCAAAATTCGTAATAAAATTCTAGATAATTAGTATAAATTGTTATCTATTCATATCTAGGATCTAATCTAATTTTCAAACCAATTTTATTCTCATTTCTCTTTGATTGGCGAATTGTATTCTACTCAACTCATCTTAGTGATTTTATTCATCTCTAGCTCCAGAATTTATGGAATTACGCGTTAACGCTTTCAAGGACAATGATAAAGTGACTGTCGCATTACTGCAAGTGTAACGGCTTGGCGACATCGAATATGCTTGTCTGTCGGCGCTTAGATGTTTCCCACACGTGTCGTCCGCGTCGTCCCACATCCGTTTCTCTTAACTTTCCTCTATAAGAGCTGTTAAAGCTGCCTTTACACGTTTTACCGACGCTTACGCTTTCTTTACAGATGAGCTTTCCAACAATGTTTGGAACGGTTATAGCGCTTTTTTTACCAAATGTAGCATTTACTTATATTGGTGTTCCGTGAGACCAATTTGCAATGTATCCTTATATAAACTTTATAATATACATAATTTCAATTTCAATGTTTTTAAACAAAACTAAATTTACAAACACTTTCATCAGTAAATTTAAGTAACGTAAATTTAAAAGTAACGGTTCCTTCAGTGTATCCAAAGGAAAAATTTATGACAATAATAAGCCGCTATAAATTATAGCGTCAAAATACAAAAAATGTATATTTTTTTTTATTACACTATGATAAATGATTTGACAATTTTCGGGGGTTATCTTTATGGTAAATTTATGAAAAGCCGATATTAAATTTACATCGTTAAATCGATATTCGTATAGCTTTCGAGATCTTGTAACTCATGCTGCATCAATGCGGAAGAATTTAATTAAAGTATGTGCATATAGTGTCTGTAATATTGCTATTGTTCGTAAAATAACATTAGTATTAGTATCAAAATAATAATATCAGGCTTGAGCATTAAAATAATGATACTGCATTATAAACATATGAATGGATATAGTTTACGTATAAGTTGTAAAGTACTTTGCGTACACTTGATATCCGACACGAGCTGCATAATATTTTTAGAGGTGCATGTGACTCTGTGAATAAATAATGTGTAAGATATCCCTGATAATTGTTTAGAATGATCATTCAAATTCACATTAATAAAATTCAATTTTCTTTTTTTTTTTAAGACCTTTCTAACCAAATAATACCGCTGAATGAATGAAAACTACGTTACAAAATAATTATTTGTCAATTGAAGAATTTTTTACCTTGCATATTTCTATCTATGGGATGTATTCTAGAATGGAAAATTCGATGCGCGACTTATCCATTTCGAAAATGTCATTTCCTAAAAATTGCATATCCATTCAATTTCGTGGCTGACGAGGGAGATGAAATTACAAAAAACAAGTCGTTGACAGTTATCGTTTGATACTCAAAACTTCCGGAATACCTTTTGCCTTCACTTTACTATGCGAGGCTTATAAAGAAAGAACGTATACTTTTTCCAAGCAATGTAGATAAAATAAAATAAAATAAGGTAAAATAAGGTAAAATAAGGAGAAACGCTTGGTCGTATTCGAAAAAATCGTGAAATATTCATGGGTTGGCTAACTAAATTGTCAATGCCCATGAGTATCGAGTAACGGTTCAAGATTATTTATAAATTACATGATTACTAATTATAGACATAAAAACATTTTACGTTTGTGCATCTGTAGTTATATAATAAGGTTTTTGTAATTGAATTAATAATATCATAAATTTGTCGAACTTTTTAAACGATACTTTTCAAAGTTCTTTCTAATGGAAAATAATATTTTTATATGACTATTATATGTTATATGTAATTTATTTTCGTAATGCTTTTAAAAGTTCGTAATATCATTATTGGTGAATTCAGATGGATATGTGACATAAGAAAACTCCTTCTAGCTCAATAAAATTGTCAGATAATATTTTAGTTGTATAAATATATTGAGTGATAAAAATCAACACGCATTTTATAAGCTTTTAGCGAATTAAAATTATATTACATTATGTAACGTGAATATAATACATTTTTATATTACTTTTTAATCTTGCACTTTTACGCCATCAATTTTATTAAAAAAAAAATTTCATCCGTACAAACCGTTTTTCAATTTGAAGTTTCATTTAATGTTCTTTTGTCTTGTAAAATCAATATAATATTAATAAACGATACTTTATAATTATGATTAAAGAAAAATATATTCAATTAAGGTAATATATGTTAAAATAAAGTTGTAATATGAATTTCATTGAAAATGTATTTTTAAAGAAAAATTTATAATATCGTATACAGTGTAAATATTTTAAAAGTAAAGGAATATCTATGTGAGAGTGAGAAAAACGTGTCTATCGTGGCATTTCGTTACTCTTAAAAGCTTTTGAGTTCGG